TGGGACACCACATCTGGGGCATGCTGCAGGAGCTGATTCACCAAGGTAGTTTGATACACGAAGGCGCTTGTTAGTTCGACGACCTGTCGGGCTAGGTGTTGTTTGCCATTTAAAGTGGAAGAGCTGGGACAATAAACGTCTGCTTGAGTTGTGGAAGTGTAATGGACTCCGGGTGCAAAGCTTGAGCTAGGATGGGTCAGATATGCAACAAAATGGGGTGAAAATACCCTTAGTTCAATCGTCGGACTCAAGATTTGGATCTGGGCAGGTTGAACTAGTCTGGGACCATGCTGGACCGTCCAGAAGGCTACGGGAGCAAGTTGGGTGCATGGGCACTGGGCCCTTCGGTTTGTCCTATTCGGCCTTAAGTTTAAGCTATATTGGGCTCATGCTGGGCTGCAAATTGCGTCACGGTTAGCGTGACCTGGGCAGCCTCATCCTAGACAACTCGCGTCCAAGTGAAAAAGGTAGGTGGCATGGGCTGCTACCGAAGGCAAGCAGCTATCTGGGCCTACAACTGCTGGCTGCCCAGCATCACAGGGCTCTTGCCATATCACGATCTCCATTAGTTGGTCCATGTTCTTCAAAGTAGGGGGTCCCATTAGTTGTAGTTTCTGAAGTTCCTGCCATCGTAGTCGCAGATTTATGAACGAAAGAAGTTGAAAGTGAGAATTTTCTTCAAATCTTCAGATCCGAGCTCTCAATGAAAGCACTAATTTGTGGATGCAAGTTTCCGCCTTCCTTAGAATGACGAATCTGCACCTGTAAAATAATAACACCTAAGATTAAGGCCAAAAGCCTCATACGCCCACGATGATTTTTTTTTTTGGGGGGGGGAGGGCTTTGGCCGAAGAATTACTTATGCCAAAGTTAGAATTCTGAAAAGAATGTGTTTAAGTGTTTGTCAAGAAGCAAAAAGCCTCTTTAGGGCAGCTCAAGCTTATTGGATTTTGAAGATAAATGGAGAATTTATAGGAGAAAATGAGGAAGTGGGCTGGCCCTCTAGGGTTTAGGGTTGGCCGGCACTAGGGTGGAATTTGGGTGAGAATATTTCAAGATATTTGTGTAAATAAATATCTTGAAGTAATTAGGTAAATATTGTAAATAAATGGAATTAGGATTACTTACTTGAAAGTGGTCTTCTCTGATTAGGAATGTATTTATGATAACAACAAGGAATTATCCTCTCATAAGTACCTTTGACTTTTCCTACGGGTAGGGGTACCTTGAGCAGTCGTTGATCTCTGCCTGCTCTACCTCAGCTGCGTGTGATGAATGAGGCTGCTCCCTGCTCATTCAATAAGAGCAGTTTTTTCTTTCTTGGGAAATAATCTATGTGTCAGCTCTATGATTTTTGGGATTATTTTTGGCTCTACAAAGTTTGCTTGCTGAGTATGTGGATGATAGGTTTCTCCGTTTCAAGTGTCTAGTGCAGATGGGACACCATATCTAGGTCATGGTCTAGGTGCAATTGGGGAACACAACGTAGCATTTTGGCTAGACTATTTTTACTTAATGAGATGATGAACATTTCAAGACAAACGTTGAAAAGATATTTTCTTCCTTTTGGTTGGTTAGTGTGCTCACTACATCTACATGAAGGATTACTTGAGTCCCAAGCATATGTTTATTGCATTAACTTTTAAGATAGTATTTGACAGTGTTTTTGTTCGATTTGAGTTGGTGTACTGAAAGCTTAAGATGTCTCCAACAACCTTCATCAAAATATGCCATCTTCACCTTTAAAATACTCAAAACGTCCAAAAGCGTCAATTTAGGAAAGTTCCGCATTGGGTCTTCTTTTCTTCTCCATGATCAAACGGCTTAGTAGAAAAATCTGAAATTTTGATAAAATCATCTTGAAAGACCCACGAACATCATCTAATTGGAATCACTCCAAAATTTATCCGTTTAATTATTTTATACTCAAGATTTTCAAAATTCTACCAAAATAATCTTTAAATTATTTCTAAGAGCTGGATAAAATATATATGGCATAATATCGACTCATCATGTACCGGCCACATCAATTGCTGTCATGGCTGATATTTGACATTTCATATCTCATCAATCCCGGATGAAATATTAATCGGCGTGTCGCATTCCAGGCTCAAATGTTTAGCTATTATCGTTTTCAAAGTTTTTTTATTTTTTTTTAATTTTTTATAATGCACTAGGTGCAATTTATTTCAGCATATTACTTGAGTTTCATTATGTCTTCATTTTGTTTCAGTGGTTTCTATTTAACTTTCTTCCTAAATTGTAACCCGACACAATGTTTTTCGAGGAAAAATGTTTTTACCGCCACCACTAATGCAACGGAATTCCATTAATTTTTAGTATCACCTGTTCAAAATAAAGTTACTTTGTTACATTCCTTTGTTACAAAAGAACACCTAAGTCAGAGTCCCAAGTTGCTTACGTCTCCTTATTTAGAATCAAGCCACTCGTAGTTCAATAATATTAATGAGTGAATGACCCGTTTAAAATGAGTATTTTGATACTTGGCGAGATTGTTTGTGTTTGGGTTAATATTTGAGTATTGGGCTTAGCATAAAGGAAGCCCAAAGGCGCCAAAACAAGTTGAACTTGCCCGAAGCCCAGCGATGAAGCCTGAAACAAATTGAAGCCTTCTCAACCAAAGGCATAGCCCACGTGCTTATGATTAAAGTGACAATTGACATAGACCAGCTTACTACCAACCAAAAAGCACTTTCAAATGGCATAAAGGTGTAAATACAAGATGACTCACTACCCCTAAGAGCCCTCGGTCAAAAACAAAGCCAAGATAGTCGGGCTAAACTGCCTATAAAAGGAGAAAGAGACAATAGGGACAAGGACACTCAACCAATCAAACAAACAACATATAAACTCTGCTCTCAAACCAAATTTGCACCCAAAAACCTGAAACTTGCCTGGATTCAATCCTTTTAGCAATAGTTCTCTTAGGAAAGCTATCTTTTGTCTAGTGTAAAATCTCTGCTACCTTTCCTTAGTATTGTAGTATCGATTCCCTCATGTAATATCTATTTACCATACATCCCTTTTAGCTTACAACCTCTGTAAACTCAAAGAGAAGTGATTGCAAGAAGTTCAACCTTACCCGACTAGGTGAAATCTTGCCCGAGTCTCTTTGTTCATTCTTTAAATTAGTAGATATGTCACTTAAATGTACTTTTCAACATATATTCAAGTTATTTCCAACTGTTCTCTACCTAAGAGTCTCATTTGTATTCGAATCTAGTTAACTTAATAAACCTATTTTCATTAAGAACAAACTAGGATCAAGGAAATGATTTAAAGGGCTCTGGACTCCCTCCTTTTTGGACATACAAGATTATGAACTAAAAGTCCTTGTTTACAAGGTAAGAAAAAGAACTTAACACAGACTTAACCCATCTGTGACAATCATTTGATAACAAGAAGTTTGAGTAACTTGGGGAGCAAGTAATCGACTTAAATCACATATGTTCTACATCTGTTATATTGAGATAACAGTGACACGCCAATATCCTTCTTAGCCTTGATTGCGAGCCTCAAGGCCTATACATAAGGCCCCACAAAAGCACCTTTCAAGCTAACTACTAACTTATTTTGCAGCACACCAGAAAGAGCAAGCCCAACAACATGCCAAGTGCCATTCATCCCCTAGGACCTGTGCGAAGGGACAATTCCATCTTTGCCTCAAACAGTTTGGCTAAGTGTTTGAATGAATTTGATTGAATGAACTGTGGGTTTGAATTTTGATTATGTGTTTACGGTTACATCTAGATTGTCAACCGACATAGTTCCAAGTTTTGGATAATTTGGAACGAAATGAAGCACATTCTGTTTATGTATACTTAAGAATGAAATTGTATTTGGTTGAATTTGGTTGACAAACGGGGGATTCAAATTTGAATTATGTGTTTGCGGTTGCACCTAGATTGAGTTTTAGATCTCCTATATACTTTTTGAGGAATCAAACACGACGTAGTTTCAACGTTTACGAAATTAAGCGGTGACTGAGGGTTTAGAGCCCTTGTAATGATTTCGGAAATATTTGATGGTTTGATGAAATGAGAATTTTAGTATTTTGAGATTGAAAGGGTAGGTGACCCGTTGGAATGGTTTTGCTGGATGTTGTTGTCAATAAAAATCAATCAGCATTCTTTATCGTTTCAAGGAGCATTCTTTATCAATCCCCTAATTAATTTGGTTATTGACACTTGCATTTGGGACCTTATTAAGATTATCGGGTTTTTTTTTTTTTTTTTTTTTTTTTGGATAAGAATCCATTAAATCTTGAGGGTTTATGGTGGTGATTAAATATAGGATGATGATTTTCACATACTTCATTTTACTTCACACACATGCATCTTGAAGTCCTAACTGCTTCATAAGCAATGACGAAAGTACAATCAGACTACAGCGGGCTACAAACTTGGGGAAAAGTTTACAAAAGTAAGAAGTTTATACTATTTGTAGACCTCCTAAACCATTTTGCATAAATTAGCCCAGCCTACTAAGAAGAAATTAAGCAACCTTTAAAAAAATTCCTAGTTCCGCTCTTGACCATAAGTAAAATTGTGAGGAATCGGGATGGATTGGTATAGTTCCTCTATTCTTAGGACATCAGAAAAGCATATTGAGAAATAATCGCCTTCAATTGATTTAACAACATGTCCGATCAAAAAAATAAAAGAGTGATACAATTCCAACGACTTGTCTTATTTAACTACTACATATTTACGAAATGTTCATGACAAATGAATATAAGGTGGTGAAGAAATATGAGAGGTAGGTGACTGTAGCACCACCCAAAGAAAAATATTGAAGAAGGAAAATTTACGAAAACGTGATATGGTATATATGAGTGCCTTGCTTTTATTATTACATGGTCAGGCAAGAATTCCATGGTCAGTATATATACTTTTGCAATGACAAGCCAAACTAGTTCAAATAATATGTGGAGGAGTTCAACATGCACCAAGCATTGAAGCTTATGATGTGCTGTTGATCTATCGGAAGTTCTTGCCTTCAAAAGTCTGGCCAAACTGCCAATTCTTGGGGGCAACATGCCATGAAGTTGAGTGTCTTCTATCACTTGCTTCAACTCGGAAGGTCAGCGACTCACCGACCATCTTGGCACCAGTAACCCACCGCTGACCCCACATCCGACTCATTGTGGTCCATTTGAGCTTGTCGGAGCCCTTCACCTGCAAGCTGATGATGTCCCCAGCTCCTCCCACGTTCCATACCAAAACTTCATTGAAATAAGGGTTCCCGGTTATTGTGAATCGAATGCCTCCTTTCTTCTGGCATGGAACCCTACAAAACGATTTCTAGAAATCAATAAAATCTTTCTTACAAAGCAAAATGTTCTCTTGACATGAAATTAATATATTATGTTGTGATACTTTTCAATGTGGACCATTGAAATCCTTATGCTAGTCATGTGTGGTTCAGAGTCTCACAACGTTGGTACTCATGATAAAACCATTTATATGTATTAATCTATTAAATGCATGCATGCATTTAATCACCTACGGTACGTGACTGGAATAATGCCCGCCTTGTACTCGGCAATGTTGAGGAACACAGGCTTGGCTATATCGAAATGCTCGCGTGGCGGATTGCACCATCCTCCATTATCACTAGGCTGATTCCAATTTGGTGGGCAATTGTTGGTTGCAGTAACAGCGAGAACAGGGCTCCCTGGCTTGCACCATTGAGGCTCATCCACACACTTGATTTCATAGCATGCACCACATGACAACCCATTGTTGAACAAAGCATTGCTCAGTGCCACTGTCTCGAGGCCATAGCCTTCTTGAACCACGTCATGGTAACCACAAGCTCCGCCAAATGTTCCCGCGCCGCCTTCGTAGAATGTGGCATGAGCTTGCTTCCAAGGACCAGCTGTGAACCTTGGCTTATGGTGCTTTATGGGGTAGTGAACTCCAAACTGGCCGCGGTTAGCAGCAACCACATGAACATGGTCAGCTAGTACAAAAAGAAAGACCACCAGGGAACCCAAAAGAGCTCGCAAATTAGGCGATGACATGGTGATTAATCTTTTTGGTTTTTATTTTGGAGATTCTTGTGCAGCTAAGGTATTGTTATATAGTACAAGCTTGTTGTTATGTTTTTAGTTGCGATTGTTTCTAGTTTCCTCTCTGCCTCTCATTTAAATTCCATTGCCAGCAATACACAACCTATATATTGTATATTGTTGCTTGAAGATGCCCTCATAACTGATAGCGTGTCAAAGGCTGGGCATCCAGCCGCTTCGTCCCTCTCCATCCGACGTCGCCCCTTCGAAGTTCTCTCACCATCCGACGTAGCTGTTGTTGGACTCAATTTTCTTTTGCTACTGCCGATCTTCATGTAAAGCTTAAATTTCGGTTTAAAGTTTTCACTTTTCTTGATTGGAATTCGGGCTTTTTTTTTCTTTATCAATTCTATCACATAAAGAAGTATAAAAGTTCTACTATCTAGTTTTCAGAATTATCCCTATTCTGATTTCTAATTTTGGTTCACAAATAATTTATGTACTTAATATTTTTGTTTAGTTATATATTATTCAAATATTGTTATAGTTTTTGGTAGAATATTTTACTATCTGAGAAAAGTAAGAAATGTGATTTCACTCCCAATATCCCAATGCATTGATATTTGTTTCGGTTAGTTGATGAATTTACTTACACAATTGTAAAGAGAATGAAACTGATTTTAGCTCTAAATCTCTTTTTTTCCATTCCACAATGTATATTAAGGAATTGCTGATTTTGTTGATGGATTCTGTGAGACTACCATATGATGAAAGCTTGATTCTTGGTAAAGCTGCGGGAACTTCTGCTTCTTTAGGCACATCCGTTAGTTTTGAAATATTCTTTGGAAACCTGAAAACAAAAGGGCAGATTAGATCTAATTAATTTCATAAAAATATTATTTTTACTATTTATTTGTATCATTTTTCTGATAAAGATGAGACACTCGTGTATTAGTGGGCCCTTTTTTTTAATTTCATTTCAATTTTCGTTTCTTTGACCCAAGAAATGAATTGGAAAAAGGTGAAATTTAAAAATTCACCTGGCATGATTTTCCGTGTTGGTTTTCTGGGATTCCAAAAAGTTAAGGTGATGTGTATTGGTATATCAGTAATAATCCACTTATAAGATTCCATTATAAGAAATTATGATATTATAATGTTGAATTCAGTAGTTCTTATTTCAGTTAAAGATTTTTGTGTATGTTTTGCATTTGTATTTGTGGCATTTGATGTTTGCAGCAATGTCTTTGTAGTTTAACCCCAAAATGTGTTTTTTTGAGAACCAGAAAAAGAATATAATGTGTAAGTATGCTTGGATATTGAAATGAAGTGTTTTACTTGATTATCTTCTCTAAATCCTGTTGTTTTGATTTGTTTATTTTGTTCTCTATGTTATATAATCTGGGAACAATGCTTGGCTACTAAAAAATAAGTAAGAACTCTTATTCAAAACTTTTCGTGTTCGAATCAAAGAGCTTTGTGCTTATAATCATAACCGTTTATATTATAAATCACATAGTAAAGATCATATCTATAAAAATGAATTAAAACTAAGATCGTTTAGTTAATCTATTCTAGCAAATACATAGACGGTTCGTAATGCTTTTACCAATTCGCTTTATTTGTTTTTATACAATTCGATGACTAAACGACCTTAGTTTTAGTTGATTTTTTACGGAGGGGCTCTTTATAGAGTAATTTATAATATGAACGATTCTGATTATAAAAACAGAGTTCTATAAATCGCCAACAAATAATTTTGAGTAGGAACTCCTACTCTTTTTTTTAGTAGGCAAATATTGTTCATATTCTGGAGGGCGTAATTTTTTTTCACTACCATCCAAAGGTTGGAAAAAGCAAAGCCAATAATCCAAATTATCATCAAACAAAGAAACACAGTGCAAAATCCAAAATTATTCAAGGGCACAAAATAGAAGAAAACCAATTGAGATTCAAGTGTTCAGAGTCCAAATTGGAAACAAAAATATGCTAATAAACAATATTATCTTCTTAAATGGTTTGAAAATCCCCAGCAAAGTGTGGGCATTTTTGCTCATTATTTTTTAGTTATCATACTTTATACACCAGTTTATGTATGACTTGAATGGGTTTTGTGGCCCGTCATCCGAAACGAGATCTTCTCTTTATCTTGACGTTCATAGCCAGTGGACACAGAGATTCAGGCCATTTAAGGGAGAAAGAGATCTGGACCCAATTTGTATGAGGTCGGCCAGTGAAATGGACTAATGGGAGTTCTAGGATTTAAATTTAGTAATTCGGATCTCTGAGTTTGCCGACTCCAAACACTGAGATTCAGAGATAGATCTCAATTCCCCGTTTACCTTCATTGTTTGTTACACTTTGTCGATTCCATTACCACCTCATTTGAGATCCAGAATTCCGTCCCCACTATTGTTGGGCACTCCATTCACGAAAGGTCTTTACCCACTATTGCTAGAAATGTTTTTCTCTTCAATTGGATTGAAAATGGTTATATTCGAAGTTTTTTTCTTTGAATGAATTTATTCTTCCATAAAAAAAACAAAAAAATAGAAGAAATATTGATGACCTAGAAACTCAATTTAAGAAAAACACTTAATTCAACAAAAATTTTAAGTAAAACACTTATAAGGTTGTTATTTGTTATTTGTTCACCATTCTAAATAAAATTGTTTGAATCATTATGGTTATTGTTAAAATAGGTGATGCGAATATTAAGCTTAGAGACGTCCAAAAATAATATTTCTACTTTAAAAGTCCAGAATTATTACAAAACGAGAAAGATCTCATTTCAGAAATTAAAAGAAAAAAAAAATTACATTTACAAGGAGAAACATATTTGGCTCAAAGGGCAAGGATTAATTGGTTACAATTAGGTGTTCACAGTAACAAATATTTTCATGCTTCGGCAACTCTTCGTAGACAAAAGAATTATTTTACGCGGACCAACCTTGTGTTCTCTACTTATTTTGTTAACCTTGTTAGCCATTTCTGACTTTCCCTTTGTACTTTGGCTTTTGCCTAGTTGGGGAATGCATTTCGAGTTTCTCCAAAAAATAAAATAAAAATAAAAAATAAAAAATAAAAATAAAAACTGCAATTTGGATCACGGTACAAAAGGATATTGCACAATTGTTTGTTTATGACTTTTCAAATTAGTTTTTATAAGAATAATGTTAGGTAAACTATAACTACGTTTTTAAATTACATTGGTGTATTATTTTATGTGTTAAGTAAGTTATATATACAATCAGGGGTAGACCCATTAGGGGCTAAGGAGGGTTAGCTAACCTTGCGGTGAATATTTATGGAGGACTTGGGTACTGCCCTTTTGAAGGTTGGAGTTTCCCTTCATACATGCCCTCCAACTACTTGATAAAATACCTCAAAGATGAATTTATTCTTTTAAAATTTACTTGGTCAAAATTTTGAGTCCGAATGCTTCATTCTTAGGTTTTGATGAACAAAAACTAATTCGTTTTGTTCAATTTATCCAAATGAATTTTCTACCTATCAACCCTTGGCATTTTAAGATCAACTTGGGCATTATATTCTTAGTATGCGTTCGAGTAGTGAATTTTTTTCAATTGAAAGGAATTGGTAGTGGATGAGTTAACAGGACATATCCAAGATGATATTCCTGGTGTATGCTATTTGCAGACAATATAGTGCTAATAGATGAAACTCAAGGAGTAAATGCGAAGCTTAACCTTTGGTGGGAAGTATTGGAATCTAAAGGTCTTAACCTAAGTAAGTCAAAGACATAGTCTATGGAGTGCAAGTTCAATGGAAACGGTGGTTCAAATGAGTTAGGGGTGAGGATTGGAGATCAAGAAGTATCAAAGAGTGAACGCTTTCACTATCTTGGATCTATCTTGCAAAACGAAGAATTGGATGGAGACCTCAATCATAGAATACAAGCCGGATGGATGAAGTGGAAGAGTGCACCGGGTGTGTTGTGTAACAGACGTATGCCACTAAAGCTTAAGGGAAAATTTCATAACACGATAATAAGGCCATCAATGCTTTATGGTATGGAATGTTGGGCAATGAAGTATCAACACGTACACAAAATGAGTGTAGCAGAGATGATAATGCTTAATTAGATGTGTGGACACATGCGAAAGGACAATATTAGGAATGAGGATATCCGAGGTGAATTAGGAGTAGCCAAAATTGAAGGTAAGATAAGAGAAAATCAGTTAAGGTGGTTTGGACATGTGAAGCAAAGACTTATAGATGCTCCGGTTAGAAGATGCAATTACAAGACAAAGGTTCAAGGCTAAAGGGTAGAGGAAGACCTAGGAAGACTTGGACAGAGACTCTAAGAAAAGACTTAGATTACTTTGATAGGAGCATATTCATGCGACTTAATTAGCTTGTTCTCGTGCATTTATGTTGTGTTTACTTAGTTATTTTAGTGTTTAAGGCCACTTTTGTGTATTTTCAGATTATAAGGCCAAAGTGTGCAAGAAGATGCAAATTGGAGCCTTTTGGAGTGAAAGAGGAATGAATGAGTTGAAGACTTGAAGAAACGACGAATTCCTTCTCCAACGATGAATTCTTACCAAAACGAGGAATCCTACTCAAACAAGGTTTCCTACTTGAAGTAGGAAAGTAACCCTAAGTTTCCCGTTTTGGTAACCTTTCCTAATCTAAACGTCCGTATTTTCTAGCCACTTTGTAGGCCTTGTATGCACTTTAGTACACAAGACCATGGCCCTAGCCCAAGTTCCAACCAATGCCGTGTCTCTAGCCCAACTCCCTTCCCTTGCCGTGCAAGGGGGGCAATTTTGTCCCCTTTTATGCACTTAAACCCTAACCCTAATCACCCTAATTCATATTCATTCACTAGCCGTCACACCCTAATTCATTCAGCCACTCTCTCCCATTTCCTCCCTAAGCCGCACCCATTCTCTACACAATTCGCAGCCACCATCTACCATTCTCTCCAATTCCCTCCTTCAATCCGTGCATCCATAGACTCAAACATTCATTCTCCCTATCAGCCGTAGCACCATAACCCTAAACTCCTCTCTAATCCGCAGCGACATCTCCATTTTTCCTCCCAAAACCGTGCAGCCACCATCACCCAAACCCTTTTGCCGTGCATTCCCCCTTCCATTCTAGCCATCTTCCACATATTTCCCAACCTTGCCGCAGCCATCTCCACCACTTCCCACACCATTCCACACCATCCTACACCTTCCACCACCATTGCCGCAGCCACTCTACCCTTCCTCTTCCATTCCAGCCACCTTACACGCCTTCCTACACCACCCC